CTAAACAGTTGTTTTAGCCAACCTCAAAGCTTGGGAAAAAAAAGTTTGAGGAAAAGAAGACGGATCAAAGTGCTGGGATTTAGGAGTCCATGAGCAAACTGGCTCTCCCAGCCTGCAGGCGCCCTCCCACTGTTTAAAATGAAACCCCTTGTTCTGGTGTTCCTTTCCAGGCACGAAGGGGCAGGAGGTGTGCCAGTCTAGCTGCCATGGGGCACTGAGGCCATCTTCTCTGTTATTTGCTTGTTGATGTGTGGGAAATCTTCATGCGGCTGTGAAAGTAATATATAGGTATTTGGTTTCAAGAAAGCAGGAAGTAATATATATTTTAATAAAATACCTCTCCACAGGACTACAAAATCAAAATAGGGTTCGAGTACAATGCATGTAGACAGAAAAAGTCTTTCATACTTCAGACCTTACTGGTCAATTCCAGCTATAACTGTTGGTCTAAAAATGAGGTTGAAGTGCGTAACCTTACACAATCCTCACCTCACCTGCAGCCATAGATCATCATGGCCACAATGGCACCACTTCTGCATGCAAACTTTGAAAATTCTAATAGAAAGTGTTTGCTTCACTGGTTCTAATGGCCAGGGAATTACTTCTGAGAGGTTATTTTTCCTGGTGGTGGCAGGAATTGCAGATAATTTAAAAAATGCAAGCAAGCAAGCAAGCAATCCTTTCTCTCCCTCTTGCCTTGCTCTCCTGCTTGACTCATCTCTTTCAAGCCAATAAAAATTTGCATGGTTACCCAAGGGAAAAGTTAGGAACAGCTAGGCTTTCTAGCTCTTGCAGTCAACAAAGATGGATTGATTTTTTTCATGCAGTGCTTCTGAGCACTTGAGTTGGGATCTGAGGTGTTATTTGATTTGATTCTGAGAATCTAAATGAGATGTCTTCCTTGGAAGTGCCAGTCCTTTTGTCTCTTTGCAGAGGCAGTTTGGAAAATCCTCTTTGGATTGAGTGGGGAGATCAGGCTTTGCAATCTTCCCACCACGTTTAGCTTCTAGACTGGTGAAATCAGTTCTGAGGGCTGGGATGAAGAATCAGGGCTGATTCGAAGGCTCATCTAATAGCTGCCATCACCATAGGTGAGCACTTTGGGCTCTGCAGGAGCCCAGCACTGGGCTGATCTTGATGTGTAGCTGTTCCTGCATACAGCCTATGCTGGATGCAAATACTTGTAAAGGACTGTGGAACAAGCCACATTTTGGGAGAACATTTATGCTAGTCTATTTAATTGAAGAAATTTTATTTTGTTGTTTGTGCCTTTCACCAGTGAACCCTTGAGACCCTCCTGTTAGCACTGCAGGGCAACTCTTCTGTTGCAGAGAACTGAGTTTGCAATTTAAGAACTGAGAACCAAGTAATGTCTCAGGAGGTCCTGTCTGAACTTTTGCGTTCAGCTAGTGGCATATACCACAAGGAGGAAATCTTCCCCTCTTTTCTTGGGCTGGCCTTAGCTCTTTCTGGAAAAAGTCAGTATTCCCAGAAGGACAGACCGCCACTCTGACAAAATCACCACTGAAATTATCCAGCCCTCTCATAACAGGCATAATCACATCACTATGTGCCAAGATTTGTAATTCAATTATTGTCATATCCCTTATGTAAATACATAGCAATAGGGACCATTTTGGTTTTATTACTTGTTTTTAAACCGGTGAACTCGCATTAAATTAAAATATAAGAAATTTTAATTTAAAGTTGATCCAGGAGACCCAGTTTAAAAGTCCGTTTGGAGACAAGCGCTTCTTTCTGCGCCGCAGGGAAGATGGTTCATTACTGCGGATCAACATTGCCATCCAGTGGCCAAGAGGGTGAACTGTAGTGACTGTGAGGCTGGCGGGAGATGAGTCTGTTAGTCTCCAGTCCCCTGGTAGATGGACTAGTTTTCTGTCTTGAAAGAGGTCTTTGTTTGATTTTCAGAAGAGTGAAAAATACATACCAGTGCCTCTGCTTGGTCCATCACGGTGCTTTCTCTTTAGTTTATGTAGAGCAATCACTTAGCAATAGCATCAGTTTCTAAATACCTATTTCTGTCAGCTTTCTGATTGTTGATTTTACTTTGTCTTCTAAGGTGCAGTCAATTAAACCCTTCTTGGTAGGAAGCCAGAGCTTGGCAGTGAGTGTTTAGAAGATTGACCCCTTGCTGATAACCATTCTTCAGATGTTATTTTCCTGATTTTTGTTATCACTAAAGTACACAGGAGAGATACCAAAGTTCCAGTCAGAACCTTTCAAACCCCAGTGCTTAAAGTAGATGCAATGACTGTTTTACCCTGGGAAATCAGCCTCCCCTGCAGAGAGTTTGGCAAACCCCTCATGGTATCATCTAACTTTCTCTATACACACCCAGGTTTCTATTTTAGCTAGCAATGTTCAAGGTATGCAAGGAATTAAGGTTGGCTCAAATTTACATTGTAAGTGTGCTGTCGATACTGGGCTTCAGCTTGCATAAATCTGCTGGCTTCAGTGAGGTTGCACAAATTTATGGTTTGCTGACCCAGTGTTAGGAACTGAACCTGATATACTTATTCAGGTCTGGGCGATTTAGGACAAAGAGGGCTGCTTTGCCCCAAAAAAGGTAATAAAAGCAAATTAAGTGCATACAGAAAATTAGGTGATAGTAAATAATAATAATAATAATAATAATAATAATAATAATAATAATAATAATAATAATAATAAACCCCATGGTGAGCATAGCTGCTTGGTGGTATGGGAATGAGAAGTGTAAAATTGTACCTGCCCTAAATATTGACTCCAGTACTGATGCGGAAGGATATGATCTGGATGGGACTCCAACATGCATAAGTCAGATGCAGGATGTGATTAAATCCAGTTCAAATAGATGTTGAGTACGGATGATAGTGAATCCTTAGTACATTATTCTGTCTTTCACAGTGTTGCTCTGCTCTGGATCTTGATGAGATTAACAAGTCATTGAGGAAAGATCAAAGCAATGGGTTGTGAAAGAACAGCCAGCTGGAAAGTGCAAATTTCTGGTTTTAAACTGCAATGGGAGATTGAGGAACTCAGCTCTTATTGACTTATATGGCAGCCCAAACAAGACAGCAAATTCGAAGTAGCACTTTGAAAACGCTATCACCTGTATTTACATCAACATAGTCACGGGGCTTCAGTCTTCACAAACACACAGCTCTGCAACAATGCAAATCCTCTTCAGCAGAGCTTCTGGAGGCTGGTGTGCAAGAGCTAAGCTAGTTTTGTGTTTTCTCCTTCTGTGCTGCATTACTTATGTTCAGTAGTCTGAACAACAACAAAAAAGGGAGAGATATGCCTTTTCAGACAGAAAAGGCAGAAGGCAACTTGGCAGGCAGTGGGGTAACATTGTCTTTTGGATCTTGGGAGGTTAGAAATCAGATCAGTAAAACAGATAATGGTAAGGCTTTCAAGATTTACAGTGGGTTACTTTATCAGAAAAAAAATACAGGATATAAATGTGATAAAGATGAGTAAGGAGGCTGAGACTGAGGGACTTCTTTGATGTCCAAGAGTCTGTTATCAATGGAAGACAAATACATAAACACATGGCAATTTTTGCTAATTGACGAATCAGGCAAAATGCCTTGTCTCTGCTGGAATGTTATCTTACAAATTTCCAAAGTTGTTTGTACATGTTTTTGGAGGTTGCAAGTCTTCTAATTCTTCTTCTGAGAACTTCATGTTTGATTTGCGTATCAAATGCTTTTTGCTTCGCAAAAGCCCACAGTCTACTCCATGGGCTGTGGGAGGAAAGAAGGACTGGTTCTGAAAAAGCCCTTGGCAGGTTGTAAGCATTTAACTCTCACATGGCACTGATAGCTGTAATAACTGTATGTACCTAGGTGCTTTCCTATCTGAGCATCACAAGCTGAATACCAGAGGATTGAATAGAAACTCTCCAGAACCTTTGAAAAATAGTCCCTCTCTTGGAGCATCATCCTTCATTTTACTTCTTGGTCTGTGTTTCAGATTAAAGGCTCTTCTGTGCAGACATTTTAAAAATCTATATTGGCTTTGGGCCAAATCTAGTTGCTATTAAAGTCACCAATATAATGTTTATTGATTTAAATGGGAGAAGGGGTTGTAGGAGCTCCTCCTTCGGAAATCATCTAGCAGGCTGCAGGGGGGGTTTTAGTAGAAATGTCATTAGATGGCACAGATACTACACAGATGCTTATTGCCACTGCTGTTGCTTCAAGACTGATGTCTTAGGATTATGTGTTTGAGAGCTAAAATTGTCTCCTGTGATATATGACTCTCCACACTGTTGGGGAGAAGATATGCTTTGCAAATGGCAGGGCTGGCCTACAGTCAGTCATGGATTTATTCCACTAGAAAATTTCAGCATATGTTTTAAATAATATGTCTCTCGATCAAGGGAATTCTTGCTAAATAAGCAATAAACACTATTGTATTGCATTGTGCTCAGTAAGTTATATATACACACGTATGTACAATGGCAAAACAAAAATATCCCTTTGGATTGTACCATTTGTAATAGAAGCAGCTTTAAAATATGAGTTTTCTCCCATAAAAACTGTTTGCAGCTAAAAGGCCAGAACTTATTGCACAAAGCCATTGCATCCTCACCGATGCCTGTGAGGGTACATCCCCTGTGCAGGGCTGTTCCTGTGGGCTCAGTCTTGGAGGCTGCAGAGGGCATCAGAGCTGCTTGTAAGGCTGTTGGAGAGAGGGATGCACCAGGACTTGGCTTCTTACACTGCAGGAGGAGAAAAGGGGTCGTGGTGTCTCAGTTGCATTCCCCCAGCCATTGATACATCTTTGGCCCCATGTGTCTTGTGGGAGGTGGTTGCACGCACCTCAGCAGGCTGCAGGTGTGAGCCGGGGTCCCTGGCACACATCTCTCCATGGCAGCATGCAGAGTGCTGAGAAGCTGCACTGCAACACTGTAGGAGAGGGGTCCTACTCTCATTCCTCTTGGCAGTACATTAATTGGTTCTCTCTTGCCTTCTCCTTTCTGTTTCAGTTGTTGGGAACTATGGGTACTTCCCCACGGACGTTCCTGATCTTGGGATGTTTTCTCACAGGTAATGTTCCTCAGTCCTCTAAGCCTCTCCACCCACTCTCCTTCCTAAATCCTTATGTAAGCTTGCTTTCTTGTGACCACGATAAAACAAATGCCAAACAGTTGCCAGACAGCAACAGGCTCGATTTTTCTACCCTTCCCTTTGGTAGGCTAAGAAGATGGTACTTTTTGTAGCCTGTGCTGGCCACTTTATCACCCCTACAGCTGCTCTAGCCGGTTTGTCTGCCTGCACAGGGAAAGTGAGCCTGCCTACCTCCAGCTGTGTCAGCCCTGCCCCACTGGGGTTTCTCCAGCAGTGCAGGGCAGGCGAGGCTGCCTGTGTGGGCTCCCGCACCCTCCCACGCCGCGCCGCGCTCGCCTGCCCGGCCTCCCAACATCTGCCGAGTGAATGGTGCCGGGAGGGGAGGGCAGGGTTTGCCACAGGGTGCCAAATATAGAAAGGGTCTGTAGACCAAGATAACATGCAGGAATGAGAAACTGGTTTCAAAGACCGTCTGTAAAAGACAGGCCCACTTTCACGCCGTGGGCCTATGTGCCTGTTTATCATGGACTACTCTATCTGTTTTGTACAAGCCATTTGATAGGTTGAGGCAAATCTGTTTTCCTGGTGAATTCCCCATTTTTTTTAGGGTGTGGATCTTCTAATTTCCTGGGAGTTGGACCTACACCAGCCCACCTACAAATTACCTAAGGCTTGCAAATCTGAGCCTCCAACTGCAGATTGCATCTGAAAACCAGTGCCATCTACAACATCTAGTTCAGTGAATTACAGTTTTATTTGGCTATAAACCTTCTGTGCATTTTGGCTAGAAGTAGACCTGATGCACGAATTTTGGATGTAAGACCCTCCTCTGGCCATTTACAGAAATAGAAGCCAGATGTAAGATGCAGGTGTTGTTCTTGAGGAGTTTCTAACTTTCAGTTGTGCACTTGAAGGCTTACAGAACTACTGGTTTCCTGACCCTTGTTGTAAGCTGCTGTAAGAGGCCCCTGACCCAGCAGCCAGGGTGTGGGATTCACTGATCTGCAGTGGGGCTGGGAAGCTGCGGTGTGGATTGAGAGCCATCTCTAACTTCACCTCTGTCTTCCACCTCCTGATCTGACAAAGAGACATGAGCAAGCAAACACTTTGCATTTCAAAGGGAAGCCATTTGCCATCCATCGGCCAAAGCTTTGACTTTTAACAAGGACAGATTTCCTGGGACATCAACATGTCTGAAACGGTCAGAAAACCAGTTGCTATGGATCCACTCTGCTTTCTTTCTCATCCCCACACTGAAGCTGTTCTGTGTCTTCATATGCTATTCATTTATGTCTTTTTGCAGGACCGTTCCTAACACTTTGCCAGCTTCCTTTGCCGACTATTGTTCCCAATAGGAGTGAAATGGTGGTACAGCTGAATTCCAATTTCACACTCAAATGCTCTGGAGACAGCGAAGTGAGCTGGCAGTACCCAGTGATGGAGGGAAGTCACAGGATTGACATTAGACACGAAGAAAACAACAGTGGCCTCTTCCTAACAGTGCTTGAAGTAGGAAATGCCTCAGCCGCTCACACAGGCTTGTATGTTTGCTATTATAACCACACTCAAGTGGAGGATGGGGAAGTGGAAGGGAAGGACATCTATATCTATGTGCCTGGTAAGTGGAGGCTGCCAAAGCTGTACCTGGAGGTTTGGAGGGGAGAGCTAAGCTATGGATGTTCAGAAGTCGTGTATTGCTGATAGCAGTTTGCTGTCAGAGGAAAATAAATGATCCCAGGGACATTTTGTAACTTGTAAAAGACAACCTACGAGTTTATGGATATGTTCCTCATTCTTTCTGTTTTCACCTTTTTTGGTGAGAATTTTAATTCTCAAGAAGAGGGATGAATTCCCAACTTCAGAGCTGAGGTCTTCTGACCACCAGGGGCTGGGTAGTAGACCTTGGTGACCAGGTCAGCTCAGCTGTGAGAGCATGCTCAGCCTACAGGTTTGCCTGTCTTTGAGGTGGGAGTTTAAGTCAATGCCAGTCCTTTCCAGGCTGACCTGGGTGGAGGTTTTGGGATATGTGCTGAACCAGTGCCTTGTCTGACACTAAAGCAGTTGCCAGATGACGAAGGCTTTATCTTGCTCTTAATCTGAATTAGGCTTCAACTAAGAAGTGGAGAAAACTCATGTTTACACAGGGCCTTGGAAGTGTAAAGCAACAGAGACTGTCTTGGGGGTTGCTGTCACAAGGGAAGGTGAAAGGAGAAGTGTTATTGCTGGGCAGTCTGTTGCAAGATTGGCAACATTGGGCTACCACGCACTACCCTGTAATTTTTGAAGCAAACACAGCTCTCCCAGGCCCTGCCCTGCCTTTCCCTCTAGTAGTGGAAAACCTGTTGGACCCAGAAGAAATGGCATCCCTTCTTTTCAGAAGTACCTACCACTGGCTTTGCCCTCCCAACCCCTTGTTACTAATGGAAAAAGTTTTTAAAGGCTTTCCACAGTATCCATACCACGAAAATCTTTAATGTCATAGCTGAGATAGGCACTAGAGGCTGGCCCACCACTGGCTGCCCTCATGAAGCCTTGTCTGGAAGTTTCTTCAGCATTGGTGGGGATCCAGGGCATGGGTGGCACAACTGCAGGGCCAGGAAAAATCAAGCCAGTAGATTTGCAGTAAATATTTTGAACAGGAAATGAAAAAGAGAAGACATTGCAAATCATCCCGAAAAGCTGCAGTATGTTGCAGAGGAGATGCTGTTTGCAACTTCAAGGAAGATTGTGGAAGGGGCAAAACTCAGGCAGGACCAACAGGACTTGTTTTAAAGCCAATTTTGCAGTGGTATTAAGTTTTTACCATTCATGATGTGTAATCTGAGGACAGCAATTCTTCCGAGACTTTTTCTCCATTCCCTACAACAAATGTAAAACATTTGCATCCATCCTCGAAGCAAGAAGATGTTCCAGCAAAAGCTGTGGGCTTTGGCACATGTATCTTGACTTCCAAACTACTCGGACAAAATCATTAGAAAATGTTGTTGCTGTCAAGCAGTCTTGTAACACACTTTGTGAAGGGATACAAAGGCAAGAGAAGGAGGAGCTCTTCAAGAGGACTTTTTTGTTTGGTTTTTGAATGCCTCTAGACATCAGCCTACCAGATTTGCCAAGCAGAGACACCCTGTAATTTCTTCCACTCACTAACCATCAAGATTTCATAAATGCAGAAACATATCTTTTTCTCCAAATTACAGAGAATGTTTCTGTTTCCACCATAAACTTTGTCTTTACATTTTTTTTTCCTGCAATGAATTAGGAGGGCAATGGGTGGCAGCAACCCACCTTGGCCAAGGAGGATTATGTTGAGACTTCACACAATGTCCCATTTTCACTAACAGCACACAGGAGACCAAACTAGGTGAACCCAGTTTCTGTTTTAAATTACAGTGGGAAAACGAATGCATGAAGTTGGCAGCGTTTTTGGGATGGAGAGCTGTGTTTGGAGTATTACTACAAAGAGCCTGCCAGTGCAGCAGAAAGTCTATTGTTGGAGGGATTTGGATTGCTATTTATTAAATTGTGTTATAAAGCTTCACACAGGAGCTTCAGGCCAGCAGGGATTATTTGTTTATTCCGAAAGGCCAAATGGAGATAATTTGAGGGCTGTGCTTTTTAAGTTGGATATGTCATGCAGTTATTTTTTTAAAGTCAGACTTTGGATTGGCTGGGTAGGGAAGCTGGCATGTATTTTGTTGAGCTTAAAAGAAATAAAACTACTAGGTGTTTGTTTGCCTTTTTTCTCGTTGAATACCATGTTTTGAAAACCACATACTGTGACCATAATTAACTATGTCTTGCAACTGTAATGTTGGATATGTTAGAAATGCTTAAGTACCTTGAATTATTTTTTTATTAAATGTGGCTTTAATAGCTTCTCTACTTTTTAACATTGAAAGTGTTTGGATTTTATATTTCTTTTTCTTTTTCTCCTTGCATGTATATTGGTTAGGAGACAGTTGCTGTTACCAAAGGGGAAAAAATCTAACTGAAGAAGATGAGTGATTTTTGCCAATAAATTTTTTAAATTTTTTTTTCAGTGAATATTGCACCTAAGTGCAAAAAAGTAGGATGTTTAAGTCTGAATGCTTCTCTGAGACATTTGCTGTACTCATATCTTGATAGAGTTGTCTATCTCTAATAAAGTTAATTAATCTTTACATTAGTCTTCAGCAATGGCACAAATGCTTTCACACCCAGTAGTGCTTTTCTTTCTTTTTTGTCACTTAATATCCTTTTGCCCTCACTGTAGGAGTATCTCAGAATAAGGTCTAAATGGAATAATAACATTTAGTTTGTTTTATTTTGTTTTGTTTCATTTCCTTGGGGTCCTTTTAATTTCTTCTTCTCTCCTCTTTTTTTGCCTAGGTCAAATAACAATACAATTAACATGCCTTACCTGCAGTCTCTGAAAAATTGAAGTAATGAACTGTGCTAGTTCCAGTTACAATCTATAAGTGGTCATTGTTATAAAATTCTTGTATATGGGCTTACTACAAGCAAGACAGTGTAAAATTGCCTCTTGTTTTTTACAGACCCAGATATGCCTTTTGTTCCTTCTATACCAGAAGATCAGTTCATCCTAGTAGAAGAAGGTGATCCCACTGTTATCCCTTGTCGGACAAGTGACCCAAATGCTCAAGTGACTTTGATTAATAGTTTAGACAAGACTGTCCATGCTTTCTATGACAGTAAACAAGGCTTCATAGGGAATTTCCCTGCGGGCTCATATACATGCAAAACAATGGTTGAACGTGTGGAGTTCAAGTCCGATGAGTTCTTCATTTATATTTTAAGAGGTATTTATTTTTGTTCACTTAAAAAAAAAAAAAAAGTAAAAAAAAGTTAAAAAAAAGTAATAATATTCAGCCCAGTTCTTTCCTCATGATGTAAGAACTGTATTAGCACTAGCATCACAGGAATATATCCGATACTTAGAATCATCGAATCATCAAGGTTGGAAAAGACCTTCAAGATCATCAAGTCCAACCATCCACCCTACAATCCCCCACCACTAAACCATACTTCCCAATTATGAGCTACTTGCTTCTCTGGCAGTATTGCTAGTTCTTTAGTTGGTAGTTTACTTAGTGGCTATGTATAATTTTGATGAGAATGAAGTGTCCTTAACTTCACCTCTTCTCCTAAATTGTTGCAATAAAAGTCTTCTGTAATCCATGTATTTTAACTCTGCTTGCTGAAATATAATTTAAAACACTCATGTTTCCCAGTGGCTTCAAATTGTAGGACATTGGGTAGTCTGAAAACCAGCATGACTCTAATGTTTTGACAATGCTTTTATTGGCCAGCAAAGGATTCTGAAAGACAGCCACTGATTAGCAAAATGGAAATTTTTCCTTTTCTACCAAGTGCCTTTTCTAAGGGGCAGTTGAGAGAGCAACTTCTAGTTTTAAGCATAGATAATTCTTTGTGGGATTGAACTCCATGTCTGTACTTCTCATGCTTTAAATACACATTATTTGTATCAGTATAAACCAGCAGTATTTCCTCTTAATTTCCAGGTAACTCCTCAGTAGAGGAAGTAAAATGGAAATTTCCCCCTGAAATTGCAACATGTGAAAATTGTATACTTTTAAAAACTAAATCTGTTCTTTTTCTCTTCTCCTAGCTACTTCACAGCTGCCAGTTGAAATTGAAGCTCTTAAAACTGTCTACAAAGCAGGCGAGACCATCGTAGTAACTTGTGTGGTCTTTGACAATGAGGTGGTTAATTTACAGTGGAATTATCCTGGGAAAGTGGTAATTATCTCTTTTTTCTTTTTAATTTATTTTTGGTTTGAATGTTTGCAGTTACTTACTCGGAGTGGAGGTGGGGTTGTAAAATATTTGTCTCTTCTCTGAATCAGGACAGCTGAGATGAGGAAACAAAGTCATTTATTTTACTTTTAGGTTACCACAAAAGAAAGTCAGTCCCAATAGTTTGCTGTTAGTAAGTATGCGAAGCATGAGAGGAAGGTGAGGTGTGACTGGGAGTCCATCCTTGGGGGGAGGAATGCTGTCTCTCAGGTCTTGTGCTGGTTCAGAAAAATAAATGTTATGGAAATAGAAAGATCTAGGAATGTGTCAGAGATCTGCATGAAGCAGAACCTCTGAAATGGCTCTCTTAAACCCTGGATTCTTGGGCATAAGAGAGGACAATGAAGAATCATGTTCACAGACTTCATCCCTCTGAAGGGATGGAGTACTTGAAGTGACTACTTAATTATGACCTCAAATCCCACCTTTTATTTAAGTAAGTTAAAACTTCAAGAGGAAAAAAAAGTATTTGAGAAGGTTTTGTTTTGTTTTTCCCATGTTGCACATTATGAACTTTGCTATATGCCATTTTTCAAAACTGTCTCCAGCCTATGTTTTGTTCCAGCCTCTCATGATAACATGGTAGACCATACTTGTCATCCTTTCACTGGCTGCAGTCTTCTCCTTGCCAATGAGTTATTCTGGTTTTGAAAGCAGGCAGAACATTACATCTAGCAACTGGTTACTTTATTTTCTGGCAAAAAAAAAAAAAATTCAACCTACTTTATGGGAACTAAATAAAGAGAAGTCAAAATAAAGCCCCAAAAAGGTAGCACATAAGAAGTAAACACTCTTTTGAGCTGCTCACCCAAATTTTGAATGGTGTTTTGTTTTGAGTGAACAAAATATGAGCTCTTAACATCCTCATTCTTCCGTGCCTGTCACCGAAAGGGCCCATATTTATGGGCACACCTTTTGTGCCTCTGTCTGAAAATGCATCTCTGACTGAGTGAACAAGTCTTCTGCCATACAGGATTTAGATGGTTGCTCTCACTCTAGTGGTATCATAAATCCTCAGTGGTGTGCTTTCAGCTCAGTTACTTAAGTAAAGTTTTTTTTTCCTTCTCCAAACTACAGAAAGAAAAAGGTCTGATAAAACTTGATGATATCAAAGTCCCATCGCAGAAGCTGGTTTACACCTTGACCATTCCTGAGGCATCAGTGAAAGACACAGGGGATTACGAGTGTACTGCTCGGCATGCAACCAAGGAGGTTAAGGAAAATAAGAAAGTAGTCATTACAGTTCATGGTATAGTCTGATTTTAGTGTTCAAAAGTTATTCATGTGTTGGAAAACACTGTTCTTGAAAAAATGCTGCACAGCATTGTTTATGCAAGACTTTTTCATTTACAGACAAAGGTTTTGTTCACCTGGAGCCTCAGTTTAGCCCTCTGGAAGCTGTCAACCTACACGAAGTCAAAAACTTTGTTGTTGATGTGCAGGCATACCCAGCACCAAAAATGTACTGGTTGAAGGATAACGTGACTCTGATTGAAAATCTTACTGAGATTGTTGCTAGTTCCAACAAAGTCCAGGAAACAAGGTACAAATATTCTTCTCTTACTTTGCCACATTGACTTGAGTTTGGGCACTGCTCCTGCTCTCTTTTTCCACTGCAGTTTGTTGCTTTTCCCTCAGTGGTATTTAATTTTTTTAAAAAAATTATTATTATTTATTTTTCTGTTCGAAAGGGCGATGCCTAATCTCCCTCTTTTTATTCCCTTGGTAACAACAACCTCTCAAACCTTAGGAATCTTAGTTTCTGAGCACTAAGACTCTTCAATCATGCCAACATGTCTCCATGCCAATAATTTCTAGCTATTTCCAATAGTATCATGGGCATTGCCTGACCCCTGCAGAGTATAACTATATCCACTTGTTTATCATTGTGTTTTGGTAGTTATTTACTATTTGAGTAACAATTCCAGTGAAAAGACATGCTAGAAGTTCCAAATGTAACTACAATATAGTATCTACATACACAGATTACATGTTGCACCAAAGTTTGTGGTGGTTTTTTTTGGTGGTTTTTTGTTTTGTTTTGCTTTATTGTGTTTGTGGATTTTTGTTTTGTTTTCTTTTTTTTTTATGCCTGCCCTAAAAATACAAAACAAAACCTCCTATTTCACTAGGTTTCAGAGTATATTAAAATTGATCCGGGCCAAGGAAGAAGACAGTGGGTACTATACTTTGGTTGCTGAAAATGAAGATGAGATTAAAAGATACACGTTCTCCTTGCTAATACAAGGTAAGGAGCTCCAAGGCCTTGCACACCAGAACTGATGGCACATAGCAAAGACCTGACTCACTTATGCATGGGGTTCCCTGGAGTACTGAAATAAGAAAGGGGTGTACTGAGGAGTGCGTGCGTGCTGAGTCCTTGGAGCTCTTGTGCCCTGATCCTGGCTTTCACTCCAACTCTGGCCTTAAGCCAAAAAGAATCTTCATCCTCCAGCCTAAATTATTCCAGCTGACAGCAGGGACGATAGCTCATTTAGAATGGCTTGAGGATGTGGCATAACTACAGCCCTTCCTTTTCATGGCTGTAACTTAGGATCCACTCTGTCCTGCAGGAGACAAGAACCTCCTGGCCAAGTCCTGGTCTCTAGCTGTTAGCCAAACAATACCTGTCCTGGTTAATTTTAAATTCTAGGCTGTTTTTATAGACCCTGATGAATATTTTAACAAACTTCTGTGTCCTTCTCAGTTCCAGCTCTGATCTTAGACCTTGTGGATGATCACCATGGCTCTGCAGGTGGACAGACAGTGAGATGCTTGGCAGAGGGGACCCCGCTTCCTGATGTGGAATGGCTGGTTTGCAAGGACATTAAAAAGTAAGTAGAGTGGGTGTTTTCTTATCTAAAATAGAACTACTTATGTCCTTGATTAGATTAACATTATTAGTTACCATACCATGCTTTCTTCATCAAAGTCCAGTAAGCTACGGATATTTTTTTTCTTTTTAAAGGCATGTTGCTTATATTTCAACATTGATTTAGGGCATTTCTCTCATAAATCTTTATGCTCAATAGGTGAACTCAGCAGATTTCACTGTCCCAGTTTGAGTAGGGATCTTGAGAAGTAGCTGTCTATCCATTCAGGGACTTCTTATAATTTCACTGTCTTCTTATCACTCTTGTGTTCTTCTAAATTTTCACTTGTAATTATTTCCCCCCTAATATAATTTTCATCTTCAAAGTACTTTAGGCATGTGGAGTAATTACTCCTATTTTTGCTGGTTTTAGACTAGCTCCTTCTGCGGCCACTGGGATGCAGGGCTTTCCCATTAATGTTATCCACCAGGGAGAGGGAGACCAAACATGGGAGGAAGTTGGGAGCCCTGAGCACTTTCCAGCTGTGTTCTGCTCTCATTGTGCTAAAATCTCTGCTTGCCCCATGTTGTCCTCCTGGCCCTACCCCAGAGAGCCCTGTACAGCAAAGAGGATTTCCCTGGGAGGAGCAGAGATCCCCTCAGTATCATGACTCTACAGGATACATAGTGACACCAAGGTCTATCTATTCCAGACCTGCTGGGCTACATTGTCAGGCCTTCAAAGATGCAACAGTAATGAGATCAGAAGGTCGATTATTCTGAGGGAAGAAAGGTGTAGGCACTTCACAGAGGTGGTCTTAAGCATTTCTGGTCTTTAACATTATAATTGTTGGAATAAAGTTGTAGGGAAAGGTGGTTCCTGTTCTGTTCACTCTTTACCCATACTTATGCCCAGCACGTATTTCCTCTGTTCTTCTCTGCAGATGCAGCAATGACACCTCATGGACTCTTCTGACTAACAACATCTCTGATATACACATGGAAGCCCACCTGGATGAGAAAAACCAGGTGGAAAGCCAGGTGACCTTCCAGAAGGTAGAGGAAACCCTGGCTGTACGATGTATGGCAAGGAACGACCTTGGTGCTGTTACTCGGGAACTGAAGCTTGTGGCTCCCAGTGAGTTTGCTTTGTCCTTCTGTGAGAGTATGACAATTTAACCCCGCTCTAACACACTCCAGTTCAGTCTAGAAGAATGCTTAATATATGAAAATGTGAATTGCTGCAGATAAAAAAAAAAAAAAAAGGATTTTTTTTCCACCCTGAGACATGTGAGGATGAGGCATTCAGCAGGTCTTCATGATGCATCTGGATGCTTTTCTAGATAGTCTCTGCATTTAGTTTTGAAACAGGAAGGCAAAGCAATTCTGGGCTTGGAAGGACTTTTCAGTCACCAGCCCCAGGGACTGCTCCTGCTACATCTGCTGGATGGGCTGCAATGGTAGGGAGGTGGATGTCATATGTCTATGTCACGTTTCTTGTGGCTCAGGAGTAAAATATAGTCTCTTTTTTTACTCCACAGCTTTGCGATCAGAACTTACTGTGGCTGCTGCAGTCTTAGTGCTGTTAGTGATTGTGATAATTTCACTGATTGTTCTGGTCATCATATGGAAACAGGTAATGCAGAAAAGCATTTCAGTTTGGATGGTGAGACCCACTGGGTTTTGATCTGCTTTGAAGTAAGGCATGGGACTAATGGCTGGTTTTGCATTCAATGTGCCTTGCAGAAGCCGAGGTACGAGATCAGATGGAGAGTCATTGAATCTATCAGCCCTGATGGCCATGAATACATTTATGTGGACCCAATGCAACTGCCTTATGACTCCAGATGGGAGTTTCCTAGAGACGGGTTAGTGCTTGGTAAGTTTCCTCCAAAAGACTAATCCCATCCTTCTCTGGGAAGAAGGACAATTAAGGAGAACTGTGAGGTCTCTGCTACCAGGATTTGTGACATGATTTTTGGCCATCAAGTCCAAAGCCTCTCTGTACCTGTCTGTTCTCCTCAATTCTCCAGCCACATCCTCCTTTTCCCCTACAGTGGTGTCAGCCTTGAACTCCTTATGCTAGTGTCTCCCATGCTTCCATTTCACCTCTCTTCTGGGTGTCCTCACGTAGTGCCCATCTTCATATAGCTCAGAGGATACTTCCAAGCATTTAATTACCGCTTCAACATTCAATCCTGCTATGGCACCCATAAGAAGTGCACTGACATTTTTTATTTGCAAGACATTTGTATATTTATGTCCAGAGGCTAAGGAAAATCTGCAAGTAGTTACATAGTTTTATTAAAATGTTTTTAAAATTGCTAATCCACAATGTACATACATTGTGCTGAGCAACTTTATAACTTATTTTTGTGGCTACTTTCTTTCTTTCTTCACGTTCTGCTTTCTTTCTTTGCTATCCTGGCATTGGAATTCATACAGAATTCAGTTATTAATCACTTGGTTAGAGCTGGCACAGTCTGTCATTTTTATCAATTGCAAGGGTAATGCTTCTAGACAATTTAATGTTCTATCCAGATAGTGCTTTAAAATACAAGGTTTTGTTCCCTTGAAGGTATCTGTGCACCAAGTAGTATCACAAAACACAGGAGAAGAAGTAAAAATAAATTTTTGTTTGATATATTTTAAAAACCACACTGTCCTGGTGCAGTTCTCCTTCCCCTGCCATAGAGAAAGAATTGTTATTAATTCTTGAAAGAAGCAGCACAAAAATTTCTGGTTCATGAACAATATCCTTTAATTAAATTCATGTTGCTAATTGAAAACTAGAGGAGGGTGGATATTTAATGGAATTATTTGATTACCACCCAGACTTTAGTTATATGCCTAAATAGGATTTGTCAGATCTGAGTTGTTAACAGACCACCGCTGTGACTTTGTCTCCCTCTGACTCATGAGCATCAGCCTTCTTCGATGCCTCCCTGTTTACAAGTATATGCAAAGTCAGTGCTTTAGAAACGTAAGGCTTCATCCTTTTGGCGATCTGGGTTGCACAAGCACTCTTCTTCACACGGTTAACTTTTACCTGCTGGCAATTTTACCATATAAAATTCTTGTGGTTGGGACCTCTTTTAATTCTGAGGCTGATAATTCTGTATTTTTGTGGGTTTTCTCTTATGAAAGTGGGAGATGGCAGCACAGAGACTACCTCTTTGGCTCAGGAAGGCTCTGAAGCAGGATGCAAAACACTCTTGGCTTGGTCAGATGAGCATTTCCCATCCTAGTTGTGTAAGCCAGCTGGCACGTATTTGTTTTTCAAGCTAGTAGTGCCTGGAGTGCAATGCTGCGTTAAATGCCAACACTGAATGCTGGCTGGAGCTCCGACTGCTAAATTTGGGTTACGCTGCAAATTTCCCTTTGCTATCACCCCTGCACACTGTACTGAGTGTGCTGCTGTGTAACGGGCTCAGTGGCCAGGGCAAGGCAGGGAGACGTGTAACAAAAAGGGAAAGCCTTTGGGCTCCACTGTAGGCCTCAACACCAGTAATGTGATGGCATTGCAGATACCTCCAGGTCCTAAGCAGTCAGCTCCCACCTGGCCCCAAACTTCAAGTGTAAAACACATGGGGCTTGGGCTATGTCTGCGGGGAGGGGTAAAAAGGGGAAAGAAAGCGATCGCTCCCTGCCACTCCGGAAGTGCTCTCACTGTCTCCACATGCACCCTGGCTCAGCAGAGGTGATGGAGAGGGAGATGTGTGCCTCGTGCTCAGTCAACAATATGGTTTGGGAAGGAACTGGCTTGTGAAGACGAGAAGATCAAGGAGGATCACAAATGCCATCACATCCTAAAGGGCTGCATCCTGCCATGTGGCTGCCAGACCTCCCCTCTGAGAAGTTTCAGGGGCCAAATTTCAACTCAGGTTGTTTGAATTAGCTGGAAATTTAGTGGGAAGCTTTCTCATATCCTGGCTGGCAAGAATAACCTTCAGAGTACAGGAATCTTTAAAAGAAATTGCATAGTTTTTGTGTGCATGACAAACTATGCTGTCATAGTCTTGGAGAGGTTCTTCAGTAGTAACTCATCTAAGCACACTTTAACAGTTACTTGTGCTTATTAATGAAGTAGATAACATTTGGCTAGAAATTTTCTTTTTAAAATGTGTACACAATACAATTGGGAGCTGTAGCCAGAGGATAACAGAAACATATGACCTTGCATGCCAGATAATACCTTCAGAAATGTAAAAGGCAGCAAGTTCAAACTGCAACCAGACATCTAAGACAAAATGCTGTCTATCTCTACAGTAAAGTTACTGTGGATTCTTCCTGTACTAGAAGTCCAAAAGTAACATAAAATGAAATGCAGAGCTTACCAGGAATATGAAAATATCCTGGCATCTGGAGCTCATACATGAGTTCACCAAGTAAGTGCTGCCTTAATAAACTTGCTTTTCAGTATGGTACTTGAGAAATATAGTATGTTCATGCAGTTCATATTTCTCTAAAATCTTGCTCAAGCTGTACACAATTCTTCTGGACACTCTATCCATGTCAGGGTATAGGACATGATAATCCAAAATTTTTCTCTAAATTGATTTGTGGGAAGAGAAGTGTGTATGAATATTAGCCATTTCATTACAGCACTTGGAAATTTGCAATTAAAATTTATTTGAGCATATGAAACACACTTGTACAGTAAACTTCAGAGAAGCTTTCCCTCATATGTGATCAACATGTATTTCAGCTTCATGCAGATCACTGATGGTCCAGCCTATTTCTAAATGTGGTACATCAGTCTATCTTACTGCTAGATGTAGCCAGCATTGCAGTAACAGCCTGAAACTACAGCTAAGGATTTCAATTCAGGTTTATAAGGGGCACGAGTGTACTGTAGCAGGGTGCTGACTGAGGCAGAGAAGTGAACTTAATTAGGAGAATCTGTCTTTAGAAAGGATAAAATGAGGGTGGCAGGGCAGAGTGGGAGATGGATTTGGATGAGTTGAGTTTTTCCTCAGAATCCCCTTCCTACAAGCTTTCATATGCAGATGTCTCCTTATGTCTGCTTGCTTGTTTTTATTTAAGGATTGTACTTAATGACAGCATCTCTTTAAAATACATTTTCCTTTTCAGCTTAATAACAACAGTAATAACAATAATACCAGTGGTCTAGCTAAGCAATAGTGCTCTTTTCACACAAAAATAACAACCAGTAGAGAAATGGTAGTGGGAAATGAGGCAAATTGCTGTTACCTTCTGGAAAAAATAATGTTTTCCCTTGTGTTCAGGTCGAATCCTTGGTTCTGGTGCATTTGGGAAAGTAGTGGAGGGGACTGCATATGGACTGAGTCGCTCTCAACCAGTGATGAAAGTAGCTGTGAAAATGCTGAAACGTAAGTTGTCGTGGTTCCATTTCTCAAGCTAGGTAGGGCATGTTCCTTCAGGGTTGTTTAAGCATTGCTTCTGTATGAACAGATTCTCCATACCTGAAGTTGAAAATGAACTGTGAAATACCTGATATTTAAAATTATACTTAAGATTGCTTCACAGCACTTCAAGACTGGAAGCATCCAGTCTTCTGAAAACATCCAAAACTTCTTTCTAACTGTATGAATCATAGAGGCCACAGTCGCTCAGAAATGATAAAACAGCCATGAATGTTTATGAACAGATGAAAGTGATACAACAAAGGAAAAACAGGCAGGTCTTGTGTGAGATTCTTAAGTTCACTGAAGATTTCCCAGTTCTTGAGAGCTGAGAATCTGATGCAGTGTTTCTGGGGAAACCATGAGGAGTTTATGAAGTGCCTCTGTGCCACCTGGGCAATCCATTGTACCCCTGGAGAGGAACAAACAGACTGGGTCACCAATTGATCTGCATCAAATCAGTCCTTTATTAGCAACTTACGCCTCCTCTCGGAGTCTTAAGAAAGCCCCTTGTCAACAAAAGGACACAGTCTTCTCCAAGAGACTATGGTAGCAATGGTCTAATGAGGCAAACAACAATAAATTGTTTGTTATTGTGAAAAAGGTGAATGGTCCCACTGAGAGGCTGGTGTGTTTCTTCCACAGCTACTGCTAGATCCAGTGAAAAACAGGCACTCATGTCTGAACTGAAGATAATGACACATCTCGGCCCCCACCTGAATATTGTGAATCTGCTTGGAGCTTGTACAAAATCAGGTGGGTTTGGCTGACAAAACGAAACCCTACTGTGGAGCCATTATTCACTGTTTAACAGGCACAAAAATTTCAAGTAAAGGTATTAACAATAAATATAAATGAATATAAGGTTTCACAAACCTACTTGATATTTGGTAGCAGTTGCAGTCATAGCTTAGTAAAATAAATGTATTAACCCATAATATTTGTTGTATTTTGTTATATTTTCAACTATGTTGTATATGTTTGTTTGTTCTTTAAAGACTCCTTTCATTGCCGCATTATTTTGTTTTATGTCATCAGGTCCTATTTACATCATCACCGAATACTGCTTTTATGGTGATTTGGTGAACTATCTGCATAAGAACAGGGACAATTTCCTGAGCCGTCATCCAGAGAAAGCTAAGAAGGATCTGGATATCTTTGGGATGAACCCAGCTGATGAAAGCACAAGGAGGTGTGAAAAAAGGAAAAAATTAAATTACCTGAAACTTAAGGAAATGTCATTACTAAACCTTACTCCTTTCTCTCATTCATTGGTTTAGAGCTCTCCCTAATTCTTCTGATTAGACTTATATTTATCAGGTTTTATAGATCTGGGAAGGTTTCAGCACTTTTTGTTCAGTCTCCCTGACATGTGTCCTAGATTGGTGTTTCCCCTAGGTAGGTATGCCTGCAGAACTGCACCATCAGTTCTCCATAGACATCCTGAGGGCCCAAAGAACATTTCTATTAATAAAACTTGTCCCAGTGTTCCTCTTTTCTGTAAAAACATCCTTTTGCCTCTACCCAACCAAGTTTAAAAAGTAAAGAGCAAGTACCTAGTTTCCTTGTTTCCCTGCTTGCAGAATTTCCACTGACTAAAATTTCTTCCCTTTAAACAACCTGGCAGAGTTTGTTCTCCAAGCTCAAGTACTTTCCTTTATCTACCAAGAGCTTAGCCAGTCTCAATAGATTTTTTATGGTTAATGCTAATCTTATAGCTTTTCCAGATGAGGTGGAGGAAGCTTGTCATCATACATTAATCAGGAAAGCAATGTCATAAAATTAGCCAGGATTTAGAAGCTGAACAGAGATTCCTTTAAAAGTCACTCAGGCAAATGTATCAACTGACTCAGTAGCTGAGTACAGCCAGGACTATTCATCTGAGCATGCATTTGCTCAGCAGGACTGGATTTAGTACAAACTGTCTGGGTGAATTTATCATTTGGAATACCTAGAACTAAAAGCCCTAAGTAGTAATGATTGAATTAAGTTGGATTTTGGGAAGTTAGACAATACGTATTTACATACTTAACTATGGACAAAAGGGTAAATTTGAAATGCTTATGTTTGACTACAGTGATACATGGTGACATGTACTAATATGTGATAATACATGGTTATGTTGCAATATGAGATCTTTCTGTATTCCCTATCAAGAAAACAGCTTTTCTATTTCACAACAATACAATTGTACACCATAAGAAAACTGATAGATTCACAGGATGCTGTGGTAGGGAAGCCAGCTGAACAATAATAGCAGAAACACTTGTATATATATTTATATATATATATTTATTATTATTTCAGTTATGTGATATTATCATTTGAAAACACTGGGGAGTACATGGACATGAAACAAGCTGATACAACTCAGTATGTGCCAATGCTGGAAAGGAAGGAGGGATCTAAATACTCTGATATTCAGAGATCTGTGTATGATCGGCCTGCTTCATATAAGAAGAAGTCTATGTCAGGTAACATAGAATTGTCCCTTCTGCACTCATCATTATTACTAACAAATGCATATCTTACCTTTGCCCTCTATATGGATGTAAGCTAATTAGTTTTGTGCTGCAAGCATGTGAATATAAGTTATAAGCTAAAAGCTTGTATTTGTGCTTTTCATTATGCTCTGGAGATAGGAGTGTGTCCTTCTGGAGCAGAAGAGGTCCATCCAGTGGTGTATTTGCTTTCATGCTGAATTCATGAATGGCCATTCTCTGCAACAGGACAGTAGGAATTCTTGGGAGGCAGTAATTTTATCAGCCTTGTAGTTTGCAAGATTTTGAGCAATAACGATGAACAATAACAGTAGTAAATTCATATTGCTCTGCTTCCACTTACATTTCACAGTAACTGACACTTACCAAATGCAGAACACTCCCAAATACTTTCCTAGATTATGTAATGGAGATAATGAATGCATCCCATTCCCTGGCACTGTTCTCAGAAACCAAATACGTTTTGCTTTAAAAATAGGCACTGCCAATTCTGCCTGTAGACTTCAAGAACTAAACCATATCCAGACCAGGATTTACATGGCAGACTAATGTACTCATACTGTGCCCTAGGACAGTTGGGGTAACTGAATCACTGGATTCTGACTGGTTTCCTTGCTGACATCTTTCATTAAAAAATAAGAACTGTTGCCATAGAATTCCTGACCCTTTTTGCTGTAATTGGATTAGCCCCAGTGAGTACTTGCTGGTAACAGTGTTCAGCAAAAGTAAATGAGTAAGAGTGTAGATGCATGCACAAAAACCTAGTGAAGGCACCACCTCTAAATAAATGTCTTTGTGCCACACACTGAGTATTGTAAACAGCTTGTAAAGCACTTCATTTGGCCTTTTTAATTAATCTTTTCCTGCAGTTCTCTGGGGAAAAAAATACAGACAGGACTAAAACCAAAACCTATATTTAATACTGGATGTTTTTAAGAAGGTAGTATGTGTCAGTGACTGACGCAAACATTAACAGTGGTTAGTTTTTATGAAAAGACTGGTTTGGTCATGGTACTCTGTGGAAGTCATCAGCTCAGAATCTTGATAGCTAAAGTGAAATGTATGTTGCTTTCACTCTCCACAGGACAAACACTTTTTTTCTCTCTTTTTCAATAGAATCAGAAGTCAAAAACCTCCTTTCAGATGACAGTTCAGAGGGCCTCAGCCTACTGGATTTGCTGAGTTTCACCTACCAGGTTGCTCGGGGAATGGAATTCTTGGCTTCTAAAAATGTAAGTAAGTGCATGGTCAGAATCATAGGCATATCATTAGTATGTGATGGGTAGAAGTGGAAAGGCTGGCACCACTTTTGTCTTCTTCCCATTGCAATAAATACATCTGCATGAGCCCTCACTGGCTCTCAGGACTGATGCCTTCCTGCCCCTGTCAACAGTGCAATACAGATGTCTGTTCAGCAGAAGGTCTTGTTAAGAGTGTTCCCAGAATGTCAACAGATCTTTTTCAGGGATCTTTGCAAGGGAAATGTCCCCTGTGGAATCAGTATATCCTTGAACAATTTAATTTCTCCCTATACAGTGTGTGCACCGTGACTTGGCAGCTCGTAACGTCCTCCTGGCTCAAGGAAAAATTGTGAAGATCTGTGACTTTGGGCTGGCTAGAGACATCATGCATGATTCCAACTATGTCTCCAAGGGCAGCGTATGTACTACTTAATCTCCTGAGTTCTTCTTTAACTGAAATGAGAAGTGTCAGTTTTAAATGCTGTTTAATGTTCTTGCCATTCAGTGTTGGTAACACTAATTGACCACTGGAATGAACGCTCCTGAGAACAATTTTTCTTCAGTTCATTGATTCCTTTAATTTTCCTAATTCTGCTTTAAAGCTGAAGAATACTTGGCCACACTTAGTACTTCGCAAGCTTACATTTTAACTGGAAAATTTTAAGACTGGATAATTTATTAAGGAACTGTCACTGTGATAAGTAGAGCAGTGACACATCAGTCAATGATGTATCAGACCTAGATTGGCAGTGCCAGCTTTTGTATCATGCCTTCAATCAGCCTGGTCATTTGCTAGTAATAAAATGAACGATTATGACTTACTATTTTAAATATATAAATAATTTCTTAAAATGAAAATTATTGTTTAATTACTTTTGGTGGGGAGCAAATAGTAGCATTCCTTATAATCCTGGTACCTCTGTGTTATATGGAATTAAAAATAAACACTAGCCAGATTAACAAAACTTTTCTTGTTAGAAAGAAATTAATCCTGGCTATCAAACAACAGTTGTAATGGGAAGAATTTATTTAATGACTGATCTATGTGCCTTGGGGTTTCTTTCTTTTTGCTACAGACTTTCCTCCCAGTAAAATGGATGGCACCTGAAAGCATTTTTGACAATCTGTACACAACATTAAGTGATGTCTGGTCTTACGGCATTCTACTGTGGGAAATATTTTCTCTTGGTATGTACTTTGAACATTGTCTATGTGTGGTGATAAAGCCTCTTCAGTTCAATCTGTTCTACATGAAGTATTTAAAATTCTACAGGAAAAATATATATGTGTGTAATCAGCTGTTAGTTATTCTTTTGTACAGGGTTTTGGATCCCAATGTTAGATGTGAAGTAAAAAAATTTCTCCTTAGGCTTTTTTTTCTCCAAGATATTTTTTTTTCCTGCTAGGAAACTGAAAGCTCTGAATTGAAAGCTTTTGGAAAAGCCTTTGTGGAAAAGTATTGATGTGCTGGCTCAGGATGGGTTTTTTGGCTAATATGAGAAGGAAAATGCTTCCCACTTGCAGTGAAGCACTTGGGGCTGCAGCCCAGCCCAGCGGCTGGTTTGAACGGTCGCTTCGTATACATTTCAGAAGAGTCTGTCTTAGTCCCATTACAGAACGAAAACAAATGTCAATCTTCTGGGATGCTGATTTCTCATTTCCAGGTCAGCACTGTTCACACAGTTGGTTTATGGCAGTGTAAAGTGGTTATGACAATGTATAGCAGTTACAGACAATGTACAGCTCCCAGCTGGGAACAGCCTGGCTCTCTCCTCCGACTGATTAATTAGCCTCCCAGGCAGGTGGCTGGCCTGCTTCAGTAAGTGTGCATTGCCCAGATTTACTCTGAGCAACATTAATCATGCTTCTATGGTATCTACTACTGCCCCACAGCAACCCCAAGCCTAATGTTATTTTCTATAACAAGTTGTCAGAAAGCTGCTTCTCAGAAAACAGCAGTTTTGCCACTGTTTACAGTACTGATTACTGTAATCTCTGGGCATCATAGGATCCTGTAAATACCCACTAACCAGCATCCCTGGGGGGGGATGGGAGTGCTGTTGGATAGCTCAGGAACTGAGACATAGCTAAGCCTGTGCTTCACTGCTCTACCTGTAAGGAAGTTTCTGAAGCCCAGCTTTAGGTGAAAATCCTGCTTTTGAAAGGACTGACTTTTCTGGTGTAAATATTACAGTATACCTCCTCTGCTGGAGAAAGATGATGCTTCTCAGAAAACAAAATATATGCACAGTGGTGTTTATTAAGAAAGTCAAATTTGACATTGTGCTGCAACACTGACTTGAGCTTGAATGGTCTTTTTACACATCAGCCGTGTCTGTCTGCTGTAGCCCCAAACAATTGCTTAACTGTATCAGCTCAGGGGCTGAGAACAAACTTTCAGACAGCCCATGTACCTGGCATGTTAACTCTTGTCTAAAGCCAGCTGCCCAGGTGGGAAGGCTTAGGTACGGAAGGGACACTGAGGCTTTGCCCTTACAGCTGGGATGAGGCAAATAGCCCAGACTGGGTCACTCTCAGCTGTCGTGCAGGTGTCAAAGGCAATAAAACCAGGCAGAGCAAGTGATTTGCCTAAGGTTGCACAGAAGGTCAGTAGCAGAGCAAAGCCATAACCTCAGATCTGCCAAATGCAGGATGGTGGCCTGATCCAGGTATCACCTGATTTCTGTGCCCAGCCAGAGTTTCACATGAGGTCACGTGAAACACTTAATGTGATCAAGACAACAGGTCTGATGTGAAACATTGGCAAGGAAAGATTAATTTTGATGGCATGTCAAATTATAACATTAACACTTTTTGACATGAACAGCAAGACAGTATTTGGGAACTCTGCATGGGTAGTCAAGGATAGAGTAGTATTTTTTGCTTCTTTTTTATCTGCAGGTGGCACACCATATCCTGGTATGATGGTTGATTCTACTTTTTACAATAAGATCAAGAGCGGATACCGGATGGCCAAACCTGATCATGCTACCAATGAAGTGTATGTGTGCATTTTACTTATCCACACCTGGCCAGTCTTCAGACAATTTTGGCTTTAATTGCTGTTTGGTTACTCGTTTTCCTTTATCAGCTGGTTAAAGTGGAATCCATCTTATTTGCAGGTATGAGATCATGGTGAAGTGCTGGAACAGTGAACCAGAGAAAAGACCTTCCTTTTACCATTTGAGTGAAATTGTGGAGAGTTTGTTGCCTGGAGAGTACAAAAAGGTTTGCTTTTTGGAATTTGCTCTGTGTTTTTTATATACTGTTTTAGAAGGAATTATAAGTGTTGTTCCATCCATCAGAGCCTTGAGCATTAAGCTGGCACATCATAACCTACATGAATGACATGGTTCAGACAGAGACATTGTCCATTTTCTGCATACAAGCTTACTAAGCACAGCAGTTCTGCAGTGTTAGCTGGGAAGCAGAACTCTCAATTTCTAATGAAAACCTACCAACTCATTTTTTCTACTGGACAATGAGTTTTATTTACTTTCACAGAATTTTCTAGGCAATGAAATAATTCTAGGAATGGGACTACATAGCCACATGTATAATCTCCCTGTCTTCCTCTTTGGACACAAGTTTTCCCCTCACACTTCTGATACCTCTGGACAAACTCTTCCTACCCCATCACTCAGTATTTCATTTTCCCACCTACCTTCGTTCCTTTCCTCCACTCCCTACACCTCCTTCACATCCATTTGTCTGCTCTGGCCTTCCACATTCACTCCTGCATCATATAAAATTCACATGTCACTTCTCCCTTCAAATAATTTGAAGAGGCTTGGCTAACCTATCTAGTGTTACTGGCCCATAGGGCAGAATATTTACTGGGTTGTTGAATCCCAGCTACCCATCTCAAGAAAGGCAGCCTTAGTAAACAACATCTAATGAGGGGTTTGAAATTAATATTTTCAGAGCTATGAGAAGATTCACCTGGACTTCCTGAAAAGTGATCACCCAGCTGTCACACGCATGAGAGGCGACTGTGACAATGCTTACATTGGTGTCACCTACAAGAATGAAGACAAGTTAAAGGACAGGGAGAGTGGATTTGATGAGCAGAGGCTGAGTGCTGACAGCGGGTACATCATCCCCCTGCCTGACATTGACCCTGTTTCTGAAGATGAGCTTGGCAAAAGGAACAGACACAGGTAGGTGCAGCTTGCAGATCATGTAGCCTGTAGTCACTGTTTGGGATCATATTTGGCAATGTGCATTAATACTTTTCAGCATCCTGCTCTGAAAATGGTTTCCTTGGCTCCACTGAAACTGCTTATTGGGAAATTTCTATGTAAATATGGTAGTATGACTGGCTACAGTGTTGGGAAAAAAACTCATTTTGCTTCTTTTGTGGTTGTCAGGGGAAGGGACCTTGTGGTAGAGTCCTCCTGTGTGTCACTGGCACTACCTTGCTGTCTTGGACAAGTCCCTGTGTCTGCCTGGAGGCTCAGTGGGCACAGGAAAGCTGGAGAGGGGCTTTTCACTAGAGAGGGCAGCGATAGGAGAAGCAGTAATGGTTTTAAACTGAAAGAGAAGAGATTCAGGTTAGACATCAGGAAGAAATTCTTCACCATGAGAGTAGTAAGGTGCTGGAATAGGTTGCCCAAGGAGGCTGTGGAAGGCCCCTCCCTGGAGGTATTCAAGGCCAGGTTGGATGAGGCCTGTGCAGCCTGGTCAAGTGTGAGGTGCCCCTGCTCATAGCAGGGGGGTTGGAACCTGATGATCTTTAAGGTCCCTTCCAACCTTAACCATTCTACAATTCTATTTTGCAGCACATCTTGACCCTACAACTCAATGCTTGGAGCTGCACACAAGATCTCCAGAGATTGAGTTGTTCTGTGTGAAACCAGCTCCAAAAATTTTGGAGAAGTTTCTTTTAATATCTTCCATTGTATTCTTTTTAGTGAAAACAAGGTAGTCAGGACTTTCTACTGCCCTCTTTGCAGTTTGCATGACCAATTCCACTACAGCACAACAGTGTAGCCCTTACTGTAAATAGTGGGAGTTTAATTCGGCACTTAATTCACAGTATATAGAATTAGCAATCTAGAAACCTCTTCTTTTAATACTTTTTCTTTATTTTCAAGAGAGGGGATGATCACAGTCTGTAAGAAGCACTAACCAGATTAAGATTTATTACCTCTCTCTGTTATTCTTATTGTCTGTTACTGTTATCTTATTTTCACTTGACCTGCCTGGATTTACCTAAGAGACCTGTTGTCACAGCAATCTCATAAAGCTGTTTCTTTAATAAATCTTTGGCAGAAAGAGCTTGGAGGACCATATGAACAACCCCCTCCTTTGAATTCCAAGGTGGTTCATTACTCTTGAGATACAGGAAGTGTCATGCCTAAGAAGCAGGTGGTCAGAGTCGCCTAAGATTGTGCTGTGGGTCAGAGCATGTGGGGAGGTGGTGGCCAGTTCTGCTAGAAGCTGGAGTACTCACTTGGCCACATTTGCTGTGTGTTTTATCTCTGAGATGTTTGTCTCTTCCAGTTCCCAGACGTCTGAAGAAAGTGCCATTGAAACTGGTTCCAGTAGCTCCACTTTCATCAAGCGAGAGGACGAGACCATTGAGGACATTGACATGATGGACGACATTGGGATCGACTCCTCAGACCTGGTGGAGGACAGCTTCCTGTAACCCCACGGACACCTTCCAGCTCTGCACACAGGGAAGCTTGCCTTGTTGTCTACAGAGTTCTGCTCCACAGAGGAAACCACTTAACTGCAATGTCAAGGATGTGAAGAGAAGGTGGATTTGTACAGAAGAACTCCCAGCAATAGACAGAGGTATCACCCTGAGTAAGAATGAAAGAGAGTTGTCAAAGATGGATTTTTTTAGTGTTGCTTCTTGCAGTACTTCAGTAGCATCTCAGTGTTGTTTGCCATTCGAACTGGTAGGAGGATGAAGGAAAAGGCCACAAACAGACCAGTTTTGTGTTTCAAGGGCATTCATATGACTTCAATGGATTGAATTTCCACTGCAGCAATACTTCACCATTGTAATTATGTAAATAACTATCCACTCAAGGATCTTTTGAGGTGCACATTGAAGATATGCCACGGATTTTAGAAGTGATCATGGATGGATTTTGTGTACTTCCTCCCTCAATCTCAATGTCAGCTGCTGTTGAACTATCATGTGAATTGAAGAACACACAAAAACCACTTTTGGACCAAAAAGGTCTAAAACCACAAGGGACACTGACCGGTACTAAAAACATTTTACTTTTTACCATTAATGCAAGTAAAAGGGAATAATAATGATAATAATAATAATAAAACAGTCTATAATAGGTGTTAGAAACCTAGTCTTTATTAACTATAGAAGATAGCTGTTTTCAAGGTAATACTACTACTGTTTTCAGTAACACTAAATGTATATTTTATACTTCATTGTCCTTCAGTAAAAGCACAGTCTGAAGAAACTTTTTCAAGTACAGGGAAAAAAATTATGACCTGAAGATTTTAATGAAACAAGTCTCTTATTTGGCTATACACAGTATGGTAACTGCTCTGGTTAGCTAAAACTACTTTAACATGGAGAAAAATTTAAAATTTGATTCTCTATCATGAGCTGAGTAGTTCTAATCAGATTATGACAAACCACCAGCGACATCCCATTATTAGTATTTCATGGGTATTCAAAAGAAATCTTACCCTGGGTTTAGCTGTGAAGAATCAATTTGATATTTGAACTGTTTAAGGAGCAAAGACATCTCTCCCAACCTGGAACTCCAGATTAAATAGCAGAAATATTTCTGCAGCAAATATTCTTCTCTTAGTTTTCAGATTTAAACAGGATCAGGAAACTCAGAGTATTATCTTTGCGGACTGTAATGACAGATGGTAATTGCTTCCAAGAGTGTTTTTCAGAGGAAGGTGCATGAAAATGAACCTGCTCTCAGCCTGCAATTGTTTTTTGACACCACTTATATGAACAAAGTATCATGCTTACTGCTATCATTGTACAACACATTATTGAGATATGATGCCTTGGAAGACTTACCTGTGAAAAAAAGGTACATCACTGCAAAGGACCCTGTTCTTTTTGGTGCTCAGCTTTCAAACTTAACTTTAATTCAGTGTGATGAGTGCTTCACAGGACATGCTCAGCCTCTGACATGACAGAACCAATGTAAAAGTGATGCAAACTTATCTCTTTATTGCAGTATTTTTCCAAGGAAGTGTGACAGGTGAATCAGAAGTGAACAACAGAACACACTGCCATGTTAAACTAAAGTTTAACTTGAAATGGTCCTACAAAAAGCTACACAAATCCCCTTGACTTCACTTGTTGTGGACAGTTGTGGATCAAATGCAAGCAAATGTAATATTATCAGTGTTACAGGCAAATAATCCCGGGTCTGGATTTCAAAATGCCACCCTGCTGAAGCCACGTACAAGGCTACTGCAGATGTGAAAATAGGACCTGAAGCAAGGCACCCACATTTTCAACCCTGATGCAGACTGACAATCAGAAGAACAGTAAGCAATGGCACATCCTCCTTTTGCTGCAGCCAACAGACGAAGACCGGGGGTCTTCCTGGGAACTGTGCTTCAGCTGAACACATGGCACCAAGCTCTGTATGGCCACAGCTGTGGAACAAAAAGACTCTCAAAACAACCGGGATAGATGAGACAATGTAAAGTCCCCCTCCATGTGTGAACTATGAATTGAGGAAACACAAATAGTCTACTGGATATCCCAGATATCTGAATGGCCGCTTGAGACCACATGTGCCTTAATTTGCATGTATAGTCATTACAACTACACAATCAAATTAGGCAAGCAATTTCACCTGCATTTTTGCACATGGCCTGTTGTTCTTTAGAGTTTGAAAATCAGCCCCAGCACATTTTATTATACCAGTTACTGGAATCTAAGGATATTTTAATGCTATCTCCCCTTCCCCTCACAGGTTTCATTCTGTATCTCACAGCACATCTCGGGGCTAGATTTAAATGATGGATATGAACCACAGCTGGCTCACTTTCTTATGTATGGTAATGTTCATTCTCCATCTTGTAATTGTATCATGTAGATGAACTACATCCATGGCAGGGGTCTAGCCAAACCCAGCTCACTGCAGGCTTGGAATCAGATAAGCTTGCCTGGAAACTGGAATGAGAAGCAGAGGAAGAGAGGGGATTTACTAGAGAGGGAGAAGTGAGAGAGGATGATTCATTTAGTCGACAACATTATCGGTATTTCAGAATTTTCTTTTATGGCTTGATTTTTGAGAAGCCACTGGAAGAGATATTCCCAAAACTTTCACTACAGGAAGTGTATAACGACAATCAGCATTAGCCTACGAAACACAGGTTTTGATTTGGAATGGCCAACCAATTCCTTACAGTGTGGTCTGCAACTTGTACAAAATGGTCCTATTACATGATGAAGGACGTGAGATATGATGATGTTATACATCAATATGTATATAAGTATTTTTATATAGACTTCTAGAATACTGCCAAAACATTTATGACAGCTATATCACTGCCTTTGTTTATATTTTTTTTTTTACTGTGATATATTCCACAGGCACGTTAACTGTTGCACTTTGAATGTCCAAAAGTTATATTTTAGAATAATAAAGAAGGAAGTGTTTCCAAAACAGTGGCTGTTGTGAAATGTTTGAAGAAGGGCACCCTGGCCTGAATGATGGTAGGCACAAAATGTATTTCAAAAATGCCCCTGTTGATATTTTGCCTTTGAAAAAAATCCTGTAAATTAAGATCTCTATATTTCAATAAATGATATATAATTTAAGGATATGTGAGGGGTCTATACTCACTTATTGAAAGATGGTTCTAAAGAATCAGTCTTGCTTGTTTTTTTTCCCCTACAAAAGTTTTAGTTAATTGAGTGCTCTGCAAAGCCATCAGACAGCAATGAACAGCAGGTCTCTGAGCCCTTCCAGTAGGCACAGTGGGGAAGTGCCTGTGGCAAATGACCTGGGCAGTGAGTGACGTCTGTGGGGAACCATGTTGTCCCTCAAAACATGGCAGGTGTGATGCTCCAGTGAGTGCTGCTTGCTCATCTGCCCAGGCTGGCACTGGGATCCCCCATGAGATGCAGCCCTTGTTGGCCCTGGCACTGCATGTGCTGGGGAAGTTACATATACTGAGAAGAGGAAAGGAGGGACATGGAATGCAAAGGGAGATGCTGTGCCTTGTGTCTGCAATACATCTGCTGCTGCTTCTAGCACAGGTGCACAATAAAGTGCTGCTTTTAACAAGGGGCTAAGAGTGGCTTGTGTCACTCTTTGCTCCCACAGTGATTAATTTTACACAGTGTGTGTAACTGAATGTGACTTTGAGAAGAACTGCAAGATTTCAACCTGAAAACAGACTTAAACTTGTTGACTGCACTTCCCTGCACTGGAAATCTGTCCTGGTTTGCCAACAGGAGCCAGAAAAGGCTGCAGTGGGAAAATCCTGTGAACAGGCAGGTTGGCAGCCTTCTGACCACAGAGGGATCACTTTTGTTAAAGTATGCTTTGAGAGGATCTCTCCATCTAACATCTCCCTCTCCATTACTACTTCCTTGCAAAGCAAACCCCCTCCTTGCTTCATGCAGGGTGCAGCAGCCTGGGCCTGTGCCACAGGCAAAAGTTAGAGCAGGTTCCTCTCCTTTGTGTCTTTATCCTACAACAACGCAGTGTCGTGCCACCCCAGAGATCTGGGAAAGAGCAATGACAGCACTTATGTCCTTAGGTCTGTCCTGCTAAGCCATGCACATTCTCTTCTGGAAGTTCAGTAGCTGTGTGGGGGATGAGGACTGATGGTTTTGTTAGTCCTGCTGTGCAAGCTAAAGGTTGGCGATACAAAATCCCTCTCTATACAAGAGGCTGCAGCTGCATTCAGACCTCAGATTCAGTTCTCCATCCTCTTCTTTGCCCTTCCTGAGTAGGAATGCAGTCTCCCATGTGTAGGGTATGGCTGAGTGTGCCTATGAGCCTGTATGTCCACGTTGGGGAGCACGGATGGTGAGTGTTCATCTTGCTGCAGTTGATCTATTTTGGGCAAAAAAAAGCCTAAAAGCCAAGTGCACTGGAAATCCCAGCCTGACTGTCCCTCAGGAGTTCCTCTCATCATCTTGCTGCCTGTCTCAAGGCCCCTGCAAGTATTTGGTTGGAAATGTCCCGAGGGAGCTCACTGGCATGCAGCAGAGCCTGTCCGGGAGAGAGGAGCTAGTGGGAGAGTGGCAGAGTGCCCAGAGCAGCAGGGAGGGACTGGCTCCTGGCCAGGATGGGGAAGGAAAAGCAATGAATGGCTTTCCACGTGGCTCCTAAGCAGGAGATTTCAGCTTAGGCAGGTAAACAAACTTTTGGCTAAGCTTCTGGATTGCTATGAGAGGTGTAAAAGAAGAGCAGCAGGTCCATCAGCCAGAAGCATGTCGTCCAGCCACCTCATGGTGCTCCCAGAGACTCTGGGAAGCTGAAGTTGCCCCTGCAAAGCAGCCGCGTCCTATCACTTTATCCCCACTGTTGGAGGATGAAAGGGAGTCCATACATCATGGGAGTCCAGGCATTTCTGTGTACAACAAGGCCAAGGGTGGGATTCAACACCTTTGGGCTTGTTGTCCACCTGGCCTCATCTCAGTCCTACCCCCCCCC